CCTTATACTATTGCTGCTTCAATTTGCTTGTAATTGCACCTTTGTTATCAGCACACTTCTTTTTATTGGACATTTTTATGTGGTAATATTGCTTTCTGTGAGATTACTGACAGTATCATCAAGTTGGTTTATATTTCAATTTTACATTAAAATTGTGAATACACAGCATCAGAAATAAAACTGACTTTCATTTGTCTCCTTTGTTTATTGGACTCTCTTTTTTCATATTTCAGAAATAAAATAGCAATCAAGTATGTTACTTCAGTATATGTTCTGTCTTAGGAACTTCAACAGTGAGCTCAAATAATTTACAGTAATGCAGACTTTTCAAAGATTTGATAGATGTAAATACATTTAATAGTCGAGAGTGAAGGTTCGTTCTCCGAGCTTGTCCGTTGGTTTCCAAACGTTTCGTTACCAGGCTAGGTAACATGTTTAGCAGAGTTTATGGGAGATGAGTGTCAGTGTTCTGTTTATAAAGGCTTCGTGTGGTCAGTAGGTCTTGTGATAGGTCAGGTATGGGTGTGTCAAGTGAGAGATCTGTCAATTTGGTAATCAAACCTTGGGAAAATGGGCTGTCCCTGGCAGTGCAGTGGCTGTAGATCTTGGATAGCAATAGCAATAGAACTTAGGCTTACTTACTGCTTCACAGTGCTTTATAGCCCTCTCCAAGTGGTTTACCAAGTCAGCATACTACCCCCAACAATTTGGGTCCTCGTTTTACCAATCTCAGAAGGATGGAAGGCTGAGTCAACCCTGAGCTAGTCAGAATCGAACTGCTGGCAGTCGGCAGAATTAGCCTGCAATGCTGCATTCTAACCACTGCGCCACCACAGCTCTTGTTCCCTGAAAAGAGGAGACGGCATAGAAAAGCACAGGAATAAGTTAAAGGTCATCCCTCAATACAGTAACAATAGCGTTACTGTATCTAAATTATTATTGCTTAAATAAAATCAGTTTTGATCTGTCTTTTACTGCAAACGGATTGGAGAGAGACTATACCCCAATTCCCAATTATTTCCTAGATAACAGGACTTAGAGACAATTAGTCTTGGTCCCAGTTCCTTCACTTAACCAATCTGCTTGAATATTGAACTTTTCCTTGATAATATAGATATGAAAATTAGATTTCTGTCCATCCATAACACAATCAAGGAACATCACAATAATATTTGCAAAGCAAATATTGGTAAAGCCAAACTATTGATCAAATATCCTTCCTGTTGCCTCAGACATTTGAGCTATTGCCATTACGATATCTGGTAGTTCCACTATTATGTTTCTTCTGTGCTTTTGCATGTATTTGGTCTGGAAGTGCACCTGAGTCTTAACTAAACTCAGTTTTTTAAAAACAAGGTTAAAGAAACTCTGGTTAGCATAATTAGATAGTTGCTTTATAGGAAATAGCAAAACTGATTTGTTTGTTTATTATTTATTTATTTATTAAAATTTATGGACCGCCCCACTCCCGCAGGACTCCGGGCGGCTAACAATAAAAACATAATATAACTTAACAAGACAAACAATACAGTAACATTCATCCAGGGGTCAGATTTTATAAACCCCAGGCCTGCCGGAAAAGCCAGGTCTTAAGCAGCTTGCGGAAAACCAACAGGGTGGGAGCGGTCCTAATCTCCGGTTGGTTCCAAGACGTGGACGCCACCACAGAGAAAGCCCTCCCCCGTGGCCCCGCCAAATGGCACTGCTTGGCCGACGGGACCTGAAGGAGGTCCAGCCTGTGGGATCTAACCGGACAAAGGGAACTATGAGGTGGCAGGCAGTCTCGCAAATAGCCTGGCCCTGAGCCATATAGAGCTTTAAAGGTAATAACCTTGTTTAGTTAGGGGTAAAACAATAAGTACTGGAAATTAGAAACCCTTGTGGATTTTTTGGTCAAAATGGAAAAAATGAAATGGTGATTTGTGAATTTGCTGATCAAAAAAGAAGTTGAATATAGAACACAAGGGAACTCCCTAATGTAATTTGTAAAAGGGATAAAGGATAATATCTTTATTTGTATTAGCCGCAAAGAATATTAAATCTGTAATTATTACTTTTTTCTTTAACTATATTGCTTTCTTTTATCTTACTTTATGTATTTTCATATTTGTCTTTCATCCATCTAAATATTTTCAATAACAATTTTATAAAAAGATAGTTGCTTTATGGCAGAAATGCTTCCAGAAAGACCCATTAATGAATAGTATTGCAATTTGGATCTGAAATGAGCTTACTCTAGGGCAGGGATGTCCAATCTTGGCAACTTTAAAGAAATGATGATGATGATGATGATGATGATGATGGAAGGGACCTTGGAGGTCATCTAGTCCAACCCCCTGCTCAGGCAGGAAATCCTATACCAGCGGTTCTCAACCTGTGGGTCGCGACCCCATTTGGGGTCGAACGACCATTTCATGGGGGTCGCCAAACAACGCGATCCGCCAATTTTTTTTGGGGCGGCGCATGGGGGGCGCCGCCACGCATGTGCGCCGCACATGGGGCGCCACCGCGCATGTGCACCACGCAGGGGGCGCCGCCGCACATGCGCGCCGCCTGCTTAATACCGGGGTCGCCGTATAAAAAGGTTGAGAACCACTGCCCTATACTATTTCAGGCAAATGGTTGTCCAATCTCTTCTTAAAAATTTCCATTGTTGAAGCATTTACAACTTCTGGAGGCAAATTGTTCCACTGATTAATTGTTCTAACTCTTAGGAAGTTTTTTCTTAGTTCTAGGTTGCTTCTCTCCTTGATTAGTTTCCATCCGTTGCTTCTTGTCCTGCCTTCAGGCGCTTTGGAGAATAGCTTGACTTGTGGACTTCAACTCCCAGAATACCCCAGCCAGCCGTGACAATGATCTCTTGTAATAAAAAAAATGGCCACACTCCCTTTTCAATTCTTTGGGTGGGAGAAGCCTCTTCTCTGTCATTTAGTAATGTCAGAAGAGCACTGAGGGGTGGTGGAGTGGGTGGATGAGGATATATTGTATTGCTAGGAAAAGCTTCTACAATTTCTTTCAAGTCGTTTTATTGTACAAATTGAGCCAGATGATCCCAGACTTTGTCCAGGATAATCAAAAGGGTTCTTAGAAACTTCTGTTGTAGCAGAGTATCTGTTGAAGAAACCTTTGTTTTTCAGAAGCTTCCCTGAACAGGAGATAAACCCTTTACTTCCAAACGGAAGTCTTGCAAGAATTTTATCTCTCTATCATCTAGAACTACGTTAGCTTGGATAATACGATAGGGTGCATGTACTTTCTTCCAGGTTGTCGCAGAACAGAAGTTCGCTTTGACTTTTTGTTGGACTCTTTGTTGAAACACAGAGGCCAGGCTACTGAAATAAAAGCAAGCAGTATATTCTGGCAGACCCAGCAAGTGAAATGGCATCTCCTACAAAGTAATGACGCACTTCACATTCGCTTCTCAAAGAACAATGTAAACCATAGTGGTAGACAGTATATCTGCAATACTTTAAAGCACCTGAATATTTTACTTGGGATTGCACTGCCTCACACATCTGCCATGTGGTCATAGCAAAGGACAATGGCCTTAAAACTTTGCCCACAAGTACTCCATTCACTGCCCTCTGTGCTTCAGAGTATTTTTTGGAGATCAAAAACAAAGCAAGACAGTGTTCTATGACAGAGGGAATTTCCACACCTGTCCCAACAATGAGCTTGAGAAGCTGAAGACATTTTTGGGGTGTGGGGGGGGCTATTTTTCCATTTGTGAGAATTAATTTTGTTCAATCCTTGGGGGAGAGATTTCTCTCTCAGGCCACAAAACAGCCTGCAACACCAATTTTTCAACACCCCCACTGGTCCTCTGGAGGGCATTTTTTTCTCTGTCCTTCATCTCTCTAAGCCAGTGTTTCTCAACCTTGACATTGCTGGCTGTGGAATTCTGGGAGTTGAAGTCCACATGCCTTAAAATTGTCAAGGTTGAGAAACACTGCTCTAAGCCTTAGAAAAAGGTAATCAAGGCAGTGGAAATCTACAGCATGAAATAAGGCATGAAGCCAATGGCTGAGTGGGCATGGCTTAAGTCTCTGCCATACAATATATAATGATGGTGGAGGAAAGGAAAGGTCCTTCACAGACCACAATACAGGTAGTCCTAGACTTAGGACAACTGAGCCCAGAATTGCTGTTGCTAAGTGAAACAGTTGTTAACTGAGTCCTACCCCATTGTATGACCGTTCTTGCCACGGTTGTTAAGTGTATCACTGCAGTTGTTAAATTAGTAACAGAGCTGTTAAGTGAATCTGGCTTCCCCATTGACTTTGCTTGTCAGAAGGCCACAAAAGCTGATCTCATCACCCCAAAACACTGCAACCATCATAAATACATGCCACGCCAAGCATCTGAATTTTGATCACGTGACCATGGGATGCTGCAACGGTCGTGTGAAAAATGGTCAGAAGTCACTTTTTTCAGTGGCGTTGTAACTTCAAATGGTTCCTAAAGGAATGGTTGTAAGTCAAGGACTATATTTATCCATTTGTGGCTATGGCCTAGACAGGTAAAGGTGTTAAATTTTATCCATCAGCCCATAAAGCATAGGAAATGGCTACCAAAATGTATAGTAATGAGGCCAAAGATTGGTGCTGTCGTTTTTGTGTTTATACGAGACAAGTTAAAAAAAATATTTGGGGTACTCCTCTAGCTCAGTTTCTTCTGCCATCCAGTGTCACCTGCCAGTGAGAGGAACAAATATAGTAATTACCTGCAATATGGGTGCTTGGAACAATATTTTTAGCCACCTACTGTCTAACAATTCATGGCTATGGGATGTCTGTGAACTGGTAGTTGGACTATTTCAGAACATGGGTTTATTGCAGAAGTGGGCAACTATGGCAACTTTATGACCTGTGAATTTTAACTCCCAGAATTCCTGGGCCACTATGTGCCTTTTTGCAACGCAAGCAGCAGCAAAGATGAATTAATGTCTGATAAGTATTTGCAAAGAAGATGCCTGTCCTTTTTTAATTAATGGAAGCTGCTTTTTAAGTTTGTTATCATTTAGTTTTATTCTTTGAAGGACTTCATTGGAGTTGGGTGGCTAATAAATTCAAAATAAATGAACCAATTCTGATTGACAAAATGACCAACTCATTTAAGTCATCTTATATTGAAAATACAGGATACCCCAAACCTACTTACCTTCTTTTCTTCTTCCTTCCTAGCTTATATAGGGATCTCCATTTTTTTTGTATAATAGCAACCTTGTGAGGTAATCATTCTCAAATAAGAATTTGATACTTGTTGGGTTACATCCTTCGTTAATGTTAATTATAACCACATGGTCCATGAAGAAAATCTATCTGTAATTGCTAGGAGTCAAAAATTACTTGATGGCACATAATCCATCAATCAATAGCAACATAGTAAATACTTCATTACTTTATTTTAAAATAACAACCCATACTGGAAATTCAACTTGGAAAACAGTGTAGTATTCTTTTATATTGCCATGTTCCTATACACGCAGAACTTGAGAAGATTTTCAACCAATATCTCATTTGATTTTCTTCCTCTCCTGTAGTTCGTAAACTTAACTTGCAGCCTTCTCCATTGATTGCAATCCAGTCTATATTATCATATAATAGCTCATTAACAGATTATGATTTCATTGTCCAGCTTTACAGCTTTATCAGTGTTTTGAAAGCTGGAAGGTGTAAAGCAAAATTTCCAGCTGACAAATGGATCCACATCCCAAGAGTCTTCAGTGAACTCAATGTCTTGGCATCTCACCCAACATGCAATCCCAATAAGAAAGCTGTTGACAAAACAAAGCCAGGGGACATTCATCTCAATGTGGGCAGGAATCTCAGCATTAAGTAACACAATGAGCATTTGGAGCATACTAAATGGTGTCCAAGTGCCCATAAAGCTGATCAGAAGTCTTGACAAAAGATGTTTTGAACGATCTCTGGCGCAGCCCTCAAGTTCATAAGGAAACAGCAGAACAATGTCTCTATCAAAGGAAATAAACTGAGTGGATTGCATCATATTTATAATTTCTGACCAACAGAAAACAAGAACCAAGCATATTATGGACAACATACCAAGCGAGAGCCAGTAAGTTTGGCTGCTAATGTAGAAAGGACATTGATGTCCATAATTGTCATTATTTAGGTTTGGCCATAAAGAACTGCTCTGAAGATTCAGAACATAACCAAGCACAGAAATCCATGTGAGTAACACAGCAACTATGTACAGTGATTTCCAACATTTATTCTGATATTTGGAAGTGTGGGTTATTGTAATGCAATAATCCAAACCAGCTATCAAAGAAACTGGGTAATGTAAAATTCCATAGACAAAGGCGGTGATCTGAGGCAAAAGACAGATGTGATACTCAGTAAACCTAATCTCCCCAATCAAAGCATTCCGATTACAGAAAATGAGGAACATCATTCCCAGAAGTATCAAGTCAAAGATAGCTAGTGAAATGCAGAAGTAGCTCATAAAACTCTGATGGTGACTGGGTTTTCTGACTTGCAATAGAAAGAGATTGAGAAATACTTTCCCCAGCATGATAAGCAGCAACGCTTCATTAGCTTCAGAAGGCAGGTCAATATGACCATCTTTAAAATTCAAAAACGATGAATTGATGACTGCAGCCATAACTGGCAATGTTGACAGCTGTTTCCAGTAACAGGTCATACCTAAAACATCAAGACAAGATATTATTAATCTTAGATTCTGAAAAAACGAACCTTTCCAAAGAGTGAGTTTACCTATCTACCTATCCTCCCTTTTGCCCTACCAATCTACCTACATATCTGTCTGTCTGTCTGTCTGCCTGTCTATCTATCTATCATCGTCTGTCTGTGTATATATCTATCATCTATCTAATTTATATGGCTACCCATCTACAAATGTGATAAAACCAAGAATTAAAATATTTTTCATAAACCACTAAAAAAAATTAAACATAAATAGAAACAAGATCACAATAGAATGTATCAGGCTTTGGGTTTTTTTGTTTGCTTGTTGCCTTTGAGTCAGTGTTGACGTCTGGTGATTACCTTGACAAGTGCTGCAGTTCTTTTGTCAAGATTTTTCAGAAGTGGTTTGCCCTTGCCTTCTTCCTACAGCAGAGAAAAATTGACTGGCCCAAGTTCACCCAGCTGGCTTTGTACCTAAGGTAGGACTACTTTCCCAGTTTCTAGCTCAAATGAGGAACATCATTCCCAGATAACAGGGCAAGACTGTGGCCAAGGCATCTCCACAGGATCTGCACCAATGTTGGCATTTAACTGAGCACAAATTGGAACTACTTTGTCCAACAGATACTGTGAAAATTCTTCAGCATAGCCTTGCAGACAAATCTCTGAGTCCCCCTTACCCAGCGGATCATTCTAAACAAGGCCGCCAAAATGCACGCAGTAAAAATGGAGAAGTTACCATCAGGAAATTAAGGTCCCAATTGTGATCCTAACTCGAGGACCACCTGTAATCCCATTTCCATTGCAATTAGTAGTCTATATGTTATGTTTATATTCTTGAAGAATAGATTGGTCAAGAGTTATCAACCAGCACAGATTGTCCATATTCTTAACCAGTATAATTTGCAAACATCCAAAATTAAGAACAAATGCAGGGGTGCTGGATTAAATAGACAGTAGCTTGATCCAAGAAGTAATTTCTTTCATTGTCAAGATTGGATTGTTGCATTTTTGTGATTTGTGTTGTTGCAAATCTATTATTTTGAACTGAATCATAATCTTCCCATAAGAAAGATCAGCTGGACCTATTAACTAGGTGGCACTACAGTGTACAATTAAAATATATTGTGATGTAGTTCCTACAACACAGCCAATATTGAAAGAAAGTGTTCATTAGGATAGATGCAGCTTTATTTATTCAGTCAGACAGACTGTGCAGTCAGCAGAAATGAGCATTAATTCTGGAATAATGCAGCCTTTATCCGTAGAAAGAGCTAGTCCCCATCAGACAGTTGCATTTTACTATTCTAGAATCAGTGTATCTATTATTACCCCCTCCTTTTTTTTGTTCCTATTCTGATCCACACTGTTACCCTTTAAAATGTTATGACTCAGCTTAAAAAGCTTGGGCTGCAGTCAAATTCCTACCTACAACATCCAAACACAAAAACCATTTTGTTTAACTTGTTGCCACAAAAATAGTGCCACTGCATCAAATAGAATTAACATCAGATATTTGTGATCAGTGCTTAATCCTGTGCACTCAGCTATATCATTACTTTTTACTCAAAGCGACTTACACATTTTGTAAAGCAAGTTTTTAATTCTCCAGGTCAAAAGAAACACTATATGAAATGTGTTAGTTTAAAGATCTCTTTAATACAGACTAAAAAAAGCAGGTAACATGTATAGCCCAAATCTGATGATTAGGGTTTTTCTTAAAATGGTACAAACCACAAATAAAAAAATTTGTTTTACTCACACAAAACCGTTCAGTTTTGCAACACTAAACTCATATCTTGTTCTGCTATCATTTTGCCGATTTTCTGGCTGCAACGAATGAAAAAAATATATTTGCAACGCATGATATATGTTTGTAATCTTCTTATTAAGATTTCAAATTAGGTATTCTATGTTTTGTATTTTACCTGTGTTTCTTTTTTTCTGAAATATGATGTGAATGTGCCTTACAATAAATAAAATAAATAATACTGTAAATTTCCTACTATTCTATTTCTATTCTTCTTTAAGCTAGGCATCTCTCTATGTTGTTTTAATGCATTTTTAGGTTAACACTACATTTTTATTATTTTAACTATTTCATCTTTAAATCTCCCCCCCCCCTCCCCAAGTCTCCAGCTTTGTATTGAATTCAGTCCATTTGGACATGAAATCCCTTTTCACCATAGACTTGTGAAAGGGCTGGTCTCCCCCCTCCCTACTCACTAACACAGTCCTCTTTCTGGAGTTGGATTGTGTGTGCAGTGGGTTTCGTATTTAGGCCTGCTTGTACTTTCCAGATGCTAATTGGACTCTTTCCTTCCCCCAAGTCCCAGCTTTGCCTCTCAAGAATTGAAGTTTTCTCTTGCTGTCTAAAGACTACAGTCCTGATGCGATGCTTGTTTTGAGGCTGGAGTGTGTCCTTCGAGGCATCTGTGCTGTTTTCCTGATATGATTCTTTCCCTTAACAGACCCACATAGATGCTTGTTTCCAGTTCCTTTTTTGGGGTTACAAACTCCCCAATTAAACTGGAGCTGTCTTAACCCTTCTTCTCAAATATAGGTGGTCCTCAACTAACAACCATTCATTTAGTGTCCATCTGAAATTACAACGGCACTAAAAAAGTGACTTATCACTTATGACCATTGCAGCATTCTATAGTCATGTGATCAAAATTTCTAAATACAGATCAGGATTGGTGGATGGCCACCACAGAAATAGCAATATAGCAACTTAGACTTATATACCTCTTTACAGTGCTTTACAAAGTTTACAGCACTCTCTTGGTGGTTTACAACATCAGCCTATTACCCCCAATAATCTTGGTCCCCATTTTACCAGCCTTAGAAGGATGGAAGGCTGAGTCAACCTTGACCCTGTCAGGTTTGAAGTTGCAATCCTGCATTCTAACCACTGCACTACCTCAAAATCTTGTTATTAAGGAGGATTTTTTTAAAAAAGGAAAGGAAAGGAAAGGAAAGGAAAGGAAAAGAAAGAGGGAGGGAGGGAGGGAGGGAGGGAGGGAGGGAAAGAAAAAAGAAAGAAAGAAAGAAGAGAAAGAAAGAGAAAAGAGAAAAGAGAAAGGAAGAAAGAAAGAAAGAAAGAAAGAAAGAAAGAAAGAAAGAAAGAAAGAAAGAAAGAAAGAAAGAAAGAAAGAAAGAAAAAAGAGAAAGGAAGGAAGGAAAAAAAGAAAGAAAGAAAGAAAGAAAGAAAGAAAGAAAGAAAGAAAGAAAGAAAGAAAGAGAAAAGAGAAAGGAAGGAAGGAAAGAAGAAAGAAAGAAAGAAAGAAAGAAAGAAAGAAAGAAAGAAAGAAAGAAAGAAAGAAAGAAAGAAAGAAAATATTTTGGGTGCAAAACTATATGGGACAAGGTATCCTTGTTGGCAATGACTGGTTGACAGTAACTGTTGGCCAGGAAAACAAATTAAGACTGGCTGTCAATTCTCTGCAAGCACTGTCAACTCACAAAGAAATAGACTGGCCCAAGGTCACCCAGCTAGTTTTGTGCCTAAGGCAAGCCAAGAACTCACAATCCCTCAGTTTCTAGTCTGGTGCCTTAATAACTACACGCAATTTTTTGAAAATTTCACTTTTACATTTATGCAGTGTTCTAGAGTAATAGTTCCATTTTAAGAAAAAATGAACTACAGGTAAGTCCTTGACTTACAATCACAGCTGAGCCCAAATTTATGTTGCTAAGTTTAAGTGCATTTTGCCCCATTTTACAACCTTTCTTGCCACACTTGTTAAGTGAATCACTACCACAGTTAAGTTAGCAACATGGTTGTTACGTGAATTTGGCTTCTCCATTGACTTTGCTTGTCAGAAGATCGCATACATGATCACATGCCCCAGACATTGCAACTGTCATAAATATGAGCCAGTTGCCACGCATCCAAATTTTGATCACATGACAATGGGGATGTTGAAATGGTCGTAAGGGTGAAAAACAGTCATAAGTCACTTTTTTCAGTGTTGTGTAACTTCAAACAGTCACTAAACAAATAGTTGTAAGTCAAGGACTCCCTGTATAGCTCTTTTTCTACTAAAGGCTGGTCAGACCACAGTAAAATTATTTAATTTGATCCTCCTACCAAGGAGAAATTTAAACAATGCATATGGTTCTATCAAATCAGACAAAGAACACAAGAGTTTATTCTATCTCTCTCTTCCCTTTCAAATTTTGAAGTTTAGAAATCTTGCCTGACAGAGTGAATTAAAATCCCCTGGAGAACATTCTGGGCCTGCTGATGTCATGACGAGCCAATAAAATCTAAATTAATTTCATCTTCATTGTAAAGACACGCACAGAGTGAAATTAATAGAAATTAAAATAAGCCCGAAACTAGCAGCAGCAAGCTTGTCATTACTAAAAGCCAACACAGGTTTGTCAAAAACAGATCATGCCAGACAAATCTTATTACATTCTTTGACCAAGTGACAAAATTAGTGGACCAGAGGAATGCTGTGGATATAATTTACTTGGACTTCAGTAAGACATTTGACAAAGTAGATCACAACCTACTACTTGATAAGATAGAAAAATGCGGGTTAGACAGCATCACCACCAGATGAATCCTTAGCTGGTTGACCCGCCGTACTCAGCTTGTGGTCCTCAATGAACCACATCTACATGGAGGGAAGTGTGTAGTGGGGTGCCCCAGGGCTGTGTTCTGGGCCCAGTGCTCTTCAACATCTTCATCAATGATTTGGACGAGGGGATAGATGGGGAACTCATCAAATTTGCAGACGACACCAAGCTGGCAGAAATAGCCAACACTCCAGAAGACAGGCTTAGGATACAGGAGGATCTGGACAGACTTGAAAACTGGCCACTATCTAACAAAATGAAATTCAATGGTGAAAAAAGTAAGGTTCTACATTTAGGCAAGAAAAACCAAATGTACAGGTATAGTATAGGGGGTACCTTGCTCAATAGTAGTAACTGTGAGAGAGATCTTGGAGACCTAGTGGACAATCATTTAAATATGAGCCAGCAGTGTGCTGCAGCTGCCAAAAAAGCCAACACAGTGCTAGGCTGCATTAACAGAGGGATAGAATCAAGATCACGCGAAGTATTAATACCACTCTACAATGCCTTGGTAAGGCCACACTTGGAATACTGCATCCAGTTTTGGTCACCACGATGTAAAAAAGATGTTGAGACCCTAGAAAGAGTATAGAGAAGAGCAACAAAGATGATTAGGGGACTGGAGGCTAAAACATATAAGGAAAGTTTGATGAAATTGGGTATGTCTAGTTTAATGAAGAGAAGGACGAGAGGGGACATGATAGCAGTGTTCCAATATTTCAGGGGCTGCCACAGAGAAGAGGGAGTCAAGGTATTTTCCAAAGCGCCTGAAGGCAGGACAAGAAGCAACGGATGGAAACTAATCAAGGAGAGAAGCAACTTAGAATTAAGGAGAAACTTCCTAACAGTTAGAACAATTAACCAGTGGAACAACCTGCCTCCAGAAGCAGTGAATGCTCCAACACTGGAAGTTTTTAAGAAGAAACTGGACAGCCATTTGTCCAAAATAATATAGGGTTACCTGCCTAAGTAGGGGGTTGGACTTGATGACCTCCACGGTCCCTTCCAACTTTATTATATTATTATTATTATTATAAACAAAATTAACCATAGTCCATTTAAAAATTAAAATTAGATTTTCAATTATGGCAAGCCTTTCAACTATTACTTGGAGTATATGTTCTCTGTTATCAATTCACCTCTGGCCTGTGCAAATGAGCTGTAAAAACTTCAGGAAGTTGGTTTTATATATATAAGATCAGATTAGATCTACAATGTGTGAGAGGTAGAAACACTGAGCTAAGGATGGTGTTCGGAAATTTATTATACCACTCAGAAATCTAGATAAATAATTTGGTTGTAAAGGCAAGATTTTTTTTAAAAAAAAAACAAATTTGTACATATTGCGTTACTTCAAAACAGATTAAGACGATTACAATAAACTGGCAGATTCATTTAAAATTCGTTTAATACAGGAAAAAATAGAATTTCCAAATTTCCAAAAGTTATATATATCTTAATGCATATATTTTGGCAAAGACGACTGCCATGGCCATGGTAGAGCCTTAGATAATTGGACAATCAGCTTCCTACAACCACACACTCTGGTGATCATTTTCCTTTCCAATTCTTCAGCATACAGATGGCCAAGATAGAGAAATAGGATCAGATACCAAAACAGCATATCTGAAAACTTTCTGTAGCTTATCAGGTCTATAGCTTCTCATATAAATGAGTAATAGGTTTTATATGTGGAACTAAGGAGAAATAAACCTTGAGACTTCACATAACCTTTGATCCTAAGGTGTTATTTCCAGACTGATCCACCCACTATTCTCCCTATATACTTGTATCGCTCCACAAGATGAAATATCCTAACTTTCTATACTATGGACTCTTTCTTTCTCACACTTTTCTTTTCCTAACGCTACACAAAGTCCTGGGCAAGCACTGTATATGATTCTATTGACTGTATTTTTCTTTGATCTGAACTTGTCTGTGCAATGTACAGGGACCAGAAAGAAGAGGTTATCCCCAGCTGTGGTTCTTTGAGCGATAATTTGGGCATTCAATGTCCCATCTATTTATTTCCTGGAAGCTTCTAGAGAGCAGAGATCCCAGTTTTCATGAGAAACAATGGCAATTTTGAGAAACGGGAGGGGGGGGCATAGTACGCTGGGCAGTACTCACTGAAAGCTGAGTACCACACTGCATTGTGTGCATACTTCCCACCTAAAGGCCTCCTCAACCTTAGATTATTTCAATATCAATTCTACTAATTCTGTTTGGATGCATCTTCT